TCTCTAAGGGACAGTGAGCAGTGGAAAGCGTAGAGGACCAAGGATGAACCTCAGGGTAAATCCACAGGTTGTTAGGAGGAAAGAAATTCAGCAAAGGAGATGAGGGGAAAACATTTTAAATCCCACAAAAGCAGCAAAGGATCCGGCATTTTAAATGAGGAAGAGGCCAACGGAGCCATGCAGTAGGCGTTGGAGACACTGATACCTGGAGCTGGACCTCAGGAATGATAACTTGATGTCTGAGACACAGTTCCACTAACGTGAACACAGAAGCTGGATCTGATGGGTTAAGCAACTGACTGAAAAAGAAAAATGAGGGTTCAAATACCAACGACTACAGCAAGCCTGACATGGAAATAAGAGCAAGAACACAGAAGCCCAAGGGAGCCCGAGCAGGGACAATCCTCTCAGACCAGAGGAGACTTCTGAATGACATTTGAAACCAAGAGGGAAGGACCTGGTGGAGAACGAGAGCCTGGAGATTCGAGGAAGACAAGGAATAATTGAGGCAACTGCCAGAGGAAGTGAGAAGGGAGAGGATCTGGAACAAAGGTAGACAGGGACACTTGGAATGAAGCGGGTATGAGGGTGATAGAACCATGTGACGAGACAGCCACTTTGATATGAGATGGAGTGACTGCGTGAGCTCCTCCTGCCGTTTTCTCAGCAAAACAAGAGGCAAATTCCTGTGGAAAGCTGGGGGCTGAAGTGGTCTAGAAAGCTGAGGAAGGCAGTAGGCATTGAGGCCAATTCACCTCAGGGAAGACACGTGACTCAGGTTTTGCTGAATGCCGGCGGGAGCCCTGTTGATGGAATGGACTCCCATTGGAGCTCTGTGACGTTCTCTGGGCAGTTTTCATGTCCCAGGCGTGGGAGTCAAGGAAGCAGGTGACAGAGACAGATCTGGGACAGGGTCAAAGGGAGGAGGAACATGGGCTTCCGGCAAGCGTTCTCCACTGCGGGTTCTCAGTAACCCCCAAACTGAACAGGGCAAGGAGACCGCTTCAGTTTGGAAGATGTTCCCAGCTGCTTCGCATTATAGGAGAAAACATTTCGTGTGGTTGCGTCTGTCTATGCTCTTCTTCCTCGCAGCTTAACATGCTCCACCTTTGGAATGGTTCCCAACTTCCTTCCTACCGTCATAGCCGTGCCTCCTCCTTACTCAGGTAACAGCCCTCTCCCCAGTTCTCTTACAGAATTTCCCACACTCTGTTTCAGTCTTTGCGTGCATTCCATGTCCTGCTCTAAACGCATGAACTTGGAATGTTTTCCTCTGAATCCTGGCTCTGGAACGCTGACTGCATCTCGAAATACACTCGAGTCACTGAATGAATCCTTTTGCGCTTATTACTCGCAAGTTCAGGAAGTATCTTCATCGGTAGGCAGAAGATAAAGATCCCAGGATCTGAGAAGTTACCTCGTCCACTCCCTTTGTTTTAGAGATGAAGAAGCTTAAGCCCAGAGAGGTTGGCTAGGTGCCCTTGAAATGAGGTGTTTGCTTGTTTTTAACACAGCCTCCCGGTGACGTCTCACCCGTGCTTTGTGTCTGGCTTGGCTCTAATCGGGTGCTGCTCCATTCGGAATCTGAGCAAGATCCGGCCGGACCACTCAGAACTGGGAGTGGGAATACCAGGACCACAAGCTAAAGATGCCCCTTGAGGAGGAAAAGTGACCTTGAGGCAAATGGAAGAAGTTCCGACCAAGGTGATGGCCAGTGTGTGCAAATGAGTGACCCAATAAAAAGGCGATCAAAGCTTTGGGATGCCAGAGTCCCAGAAATTAAGGGACTGGGAGGTTTAAGACCTCTCATATTTGATAGTTTTATAAAAGGTCAGGAACGGCTGCTGCATAGTTGCTGTTTCATAGAATAATTTGTGTTGTTTAACATTATTCTTCCAATGTCACTCGTTACTCCATTTACATATATTTTTATGTCATTCAGAAATTCCTATGAACAAGCAATGCTTGTTCAAGTTTTATTCTCTCTAGCTTTAATTCCATGTCCCCTCAAAATATAAACATGCCAATATGTTGTTTGTTTTTAGAAATCATTCTCCTACATGTTTTTGTTTAAGAAAAATGTCTCTTGAACATGAACTTTCTAATATCCTACTTATTCTTTTACACTGACTAAAATAAATATTTAAAGTTACATTTCTAAGTATTTTCTTAGCCATGTCATGTTATTTGCTGTTTATGTTAGCTGGGTCATGTTCTTCTGGTTCCAACAGTCCTCCATATTTAATAACAGCATTGTTTGTATACATTCTGTGTAGCTTGAAGAAATCGAAATAATTCATATTTTGATTCAGTGTCTTAGTCAGCTCAGGCTGCTATATCAAGAATGCCAAAGACTGGATGGCTTAATAGCAAACATTCATTTCTCACAGTTCTGGAAGCTGGAAGTCCAAGATCAAGATGCCAGCAAATTTGGTGTCTAGTGAGGGCTCACTTTCTGGTTCCTAGATGGCGTCTTCTGGCAGTGACCTCACATAGTGGAGCAGAGAGAGATCGTTTCTCTTGTATCTCTTCTTATCAGGGGGTACTCATCCATCATGGGGGCTCCACCCTCATGACCTCATTACCTCCCAAAGGCCCCACCTTCTAATGTCATCACACTGGGGATTTAGGCTTCAGCACATTTTTTTGGGGGGGGGGTGGTTAGAGGGACAAAAACATTCCATCCATAGCATTCAGTTTAGCTGAGAGATAAATGTAAATAAATGAATCTTGTCTCTGATCCACCTATGATGATCTGTGATTCAATTAAAGTTTAATGTTCCCCCTGACAGAAACAAAGGGGTGCTCTTTTCAATTCCTGGTGCCTGCGTCACAGCTGCCCAGCTACAACGGGGGTCAAGATGGTTTAATGGTTTATCCTCCCAAACATCCTCTCCTTGGAGCCTGAAGCAATAAATCATTGAAAAGTCAAATGGAAGAAGATAAAGTCCTTAGCATGGATGGGTAGAGAACGTTCAGTCCATTTTATCTGAGGAACATGAAACTTGAACTTAGGAGACCCTTAAAGATGACTCATAAGATGCCTTTCCTTTTTAGATGCGGGAGGGGATGGGAACACAAAGATGGAGACTTTGAAGATCCCAGCTAGTCAATTGTTATGACTCTATGATGATAACGTGAGATTTAGCTCCTCTAACTGCAACATATTTCTCAATCTCATTCAACTTCTTGTTTAGTTACTCACCCTCCAATTTATAAATTCCCAAGGAAAATAAAAGATTGCCCAAATGGCGAAATTGTGTCAAAGCTAACAAAAGGAGTTCTGGAGGTTCAGCGTGGCCCTGTACTAAGTCTTTTGTACAATGTGGGAAAAACCACTTGACTGCACTCTGCCTCAGTTTCCCCACCTGCAAATTTCTCCTTTCCTCTGCAGTGACGTTAAAAGAGCTTGCTATTCACAACACACATGCCAACAGAAAATACTGTATTTTTCAACCAAATTAAAAGGCCCTACATACGTATAACATGGGTGTGGAGTTTTGGGTTCCCAGATATCACTGTCTCTGGCTAAAAGAGAAAATTTAATGGTGGATATCTTTAACGAGAAACATAGAGGTATAACTGAAGAGGGGGGAAAAGAAAAGGGAGATTTGTCTAAAGTAAAAACTTTAAAATAAAAGCTCATCCTTGATACTTGAAAAAAAATTTTTTCTGATAGGTAGCTTACTGGACTACCCTCCTATGCTCTTAGAAAAGCAGTAATAACTGGGATTGCCTGGCGGGAGCCTCCTCTCTGCAGCTCTGAGGCCTATGCCTGGAATACAGAGCACTGCTCCAAGTGCTAACACGTGGGCTGGCCTCATGGCTCAAGGTGACATCTACCCAGCTGGGACCGAGATTATATAACAGGGAGGTCCCCGTGGAGCCTGACCAGCACTGGCTGGCTGGGGCTCACACTCCTCCTCTTCCTCTGAGCTCTGAAATATGGGAGCATCTGTCAGTCTGGGCAGGTATCTTCACACCACTGGCATGAAAACAGGCAGCTAATCTGGGAAGATGGGCGTCAAACATGACACAGCTGCCAGGCCGTGGTCTAGTGGGCTCACCAAGGGACAGAGGCCAAGACTCAGAGACAGACCTGAAAATCCCAGCACTAACTTCATCTCTTGAAGCCGCCTGGACCGACAAAACACGTGGAGGTCTTCAGGCTGTTCAGATGGTTCTCATGGGAGGGTAAGTATGATAAACAATTTTCGTGACTCTGATTCCCCTCCAAGTGCTAAGTATGCTTCCATATTTCATGAACGCCTGCTCTGGAGTTGCTCTCGACTGGGGAAAAACCTCCAGTGCAGCCAGCACAAAAGCCTTTATTTCATTCAGCCTCACGTCAAGATATTCTATTTCTCTGACCCGAATCTTTCTTTCTCTGCCGTTTGGTTCAAGTGCCCCCTGCGTTCATCTGCATCCTGACCTTGCCCCGCCCTCAGCCAGCATCAGGCTTACTGAACCTCGGTGGTCCTGAAAAGACCAAACACAACGAAAGCGGGAACTGGCAAGGAGGACGGGGAAGGAGGCTCCAACGCCGTCAGCAACCTCACGTCCCCCTGATAATATAAACGGGCTGCCCAGACGGTGTCCACAACGAGAAGGGTGACAGTCACTGACCTTTGAAGCACCCACCCCCCGCTCATGATTTCAACCTTTCTCTTATGGGACCAGATCTGTCCAAGGTCGAGCACCAGAGCCCCTCAGTCATGCTGATTTCCTGGCTTTGCCTATTTGAAGTGTGGGAAGGCCTCTTAGACTCTGTGAGCACCACCCCACATCCTGCTGAGATCATGCAAGTGGACTCCTATGGGTGGCTGACAGACACGCTCTGGGCTGTGTTTACCTCCCAAGTCCAGAGCTCAGTTTATCACCTGCTAGAGGACCATGAGCACAGAAGGCCACAATTATAAAGGCTGAACCTCGTAAAAGCTTCGCCATTCATTCAACGGGCCAACTCTCCAGCCAAGACTGGCCAGTAAAAAACATCCACGTGGGGTTGTCCTGTTTATTAAAAGCACTTAGCTTACTGGAATAAATAAGAGACTATCCATTGGCAAAGTCAAGTGGTTTACAAAGCCCATTGGAAGGACAAGGGGAGCTGGGATATAGATTTTCTATTTTCACTCAATTATTTTAAAACATAAAAATGGAAACTAATTTTCAAGGGCAAGCTATCACAGCCGAAGAAAGTCCTCTCCCAAGAAAAGACTTAGTGATTTACAGTGATTAAATCTATGTGCTATTTGCATGACTCGTGGCCTGGACTCCATGAGAAGGTCACCTGAAGCAGAGGCTGGCCACACTTCTGGAGGTCGCAGCAGTACTAAGAGGACAGGTTCCTAAGCATTTACAAGGCGAAAAGCAGTGTGCCCAAATGTGGCCATTTCCACAGAGAAAACAAACTTTGCAGCAACCGTCCTTCATCAGAGTTACTTTATGGTAGGCATGAGACTGACAAGCCAGTTGGTACAAGACACAGACTTCTTGCTTTTAACTATGCCCTTCTCCACCTTGGTGCTACCAGCTTTCTCTATTGTACATAAGGAGGGGGACATAGGAGGAGGAAGCGGAGGAAATAACATCTCGCTCCAGCTTCCTGACCTTACCCTTTGCTCAAGGATGTCAGACCTACAGGCCACCAGGGGCAGGCCACGGGTTGCAGCCAACTGCCAAGAGAGAAGGCACGTGCCAGGGACAAGAACCACACCACAGTGTCCCCATAGGCCATTTCCTTGTCATGCACTCTTACATTAAGGCTGCTAGTGTCAGAGTCCCCTGGATAGTCCCAGGCCGAACGTAGTCTCTGAGTCAAAAGGATGGGCTGCCAGGTAATCCTTGTACTCGCCGTCGAGCAGCTGGGCGGCATTCCTGGCAAACCAGCAGTCTATCTGCGCCTCCCCGTTGTAGATTTTCCTCTGTTTCCAGACCACCGGGACCTGGTGCCCTTTCACTTTCAGGACGGCCTCAGACCCCTCGCCTGTCATGGAGAGTGGAAGACGAGTAGCGTTCTTGCTGAGCCCGGCTGGCTCCGCTGTGAGTCTGGCATCCTGGTTCAGGAACTGACCTGAGAGGACAAGAAAAGCATAAGGTCTAAGTCAAGTCCAAGGCCACACTGTGTTGAAAAAAACAAAACAAAACCGGACCAGCAAACACACATGTGTCACCTAGAAAAAGGAGGAATTAATGATGTCAGCGGGAGGGGGGTTGGACGCTCCCAGAAGGCATCCCTGCCTTTCCCAGCATCAGTGACAGAACGCATGTTTTGGTGGATATGGAGAGGACAGACCTGAGGTTTTATAGGTAGTGGCCCCCACATGTGGACGCTGCCTACTTGCTAACACTGGAAAGCTGCCTAGTCAGCAAGTAGAGATAACCACAGTCTGCCACTGAGTTGGGAGGACAAGAAGGTGGGGATCATAAATAGGGAAGAAGGGTCAGCCTTCCCCTCTTTCCTCCGCAGTCAAAAGTCCCCTCCATATCACAAAGTCAGTGGGTTGTACTGGGCTGAGGGTACAGGAAGCACTGGGTTCCATTCATTCCCGAGATTCATCATCGCATTCCCCAGGTCAAGTGAGGGTGTCGCTAAGGCCAAGGAATGCCGGTCTGCGTCTGTGTGAGGGAGCTCACACTTGGCAGTCAGGCACCGCACAAGTGAGTCCAGCTCAAGTGCCAGGAAATCCTGCTTTCTAAACCGAGCCCTGGCAGTGGCTAGCTCTTAACTTGTGGGCAAGGGGCCCACACGAAACTGCACGTCAAAGAGAGCCAGCCCGAGTGGACCGCCTGGTGCTCATGGCAACGTGGTGACCCCTGGAAGGGACCCCGTTTCATGCCGGGTGCCAAGCTGTGGACCGTCCTTTCTTTGTATCTTCTTGCTGGTAGTAAGGAACCAGACCTTGAGAGGGTTACTCCCAATTTCTTTGCTCGCTTTCCCTGAAGGCCAGTGAGAATTAGCCTCTAAAGCCCATTCCTATTCCAGAAAGTCACCAGGAGGCAAGAAATACAATTTCCACAATATGTATAAAGACCCCATTGACACAGCATTTCTCAGTCAAGTGAAAGCTATCTGCAACACCAGCCTCCCTCGGGGAGCCGACCCGTCCTCTCCGGCCCTGCAAAGGGCAGCTGCCTACCTAACAGTCCATGGCAGTTGCCAGAAAGGCCTTTGCTGTTGGAGATGTAGAAACCCAGGTGGTCTCGCTGGTAGGGGGCCGGCTTCTTGTAGAGGTGAATGAGGATAACAAAGGCCACGGTGCCCTGGATGGTGACGGTGATGTTGGCGTTGGCGGACACCGACACTTCCAGCCCCCGACTGCCCACCACCACGCTCTGGTTGCAAGGGAGGACCAGCCTGTCCCCTCCATCCAGGATGACTCTGCGCGGTGTGACCTCCAGGTACGACCTCTCAGGCTTGTTGACCAGGATGGTGATGGTGCGGAAGTAAGTGCGCTGTTTCTTGTGGCCATTGGGGGGAGCCGGGGCCCCGATTAACTCTCCGTTCACCGTCACACCTCAAAGACAGAGAGAAACAGAGCAGGGGTTAGAAACATCATCCCCCTTTCATGCTAAAGGCGGCCCATCAGAATTCCCTTCCTTCTCTGGCCTTATCTTTGTATCTCTCACACCATGAACTTTGGTGAGTGGAGGCTACTCAGTGCCTATGAGTGAATTTCTTCCCTGTGTTTGACCAGCATCTCGGGGTGGGGGAAGGATGATGCAGGTTTGGGTCAAGATACCACAGAAGGGGTTTTCCTGTTTGCATTCATTCTTAGATTTCTTTCATTCTGGTTGTAGGGACCAAGACATATATTCCTTATCTACCAGTGTGGTATAATGCAAAGGTCAGAATTATGCTGAGTCCAAAAACTCAAGTTCTTCCACTTTCTAGGTGTGCATCCCTGGGCACGTCACTTTAAAACACTGAGTCTCAACGTCCTCATCTGTCAAATGGAGGTATGAAACCTAACAGGATTGTCATGAGGATCACGGGAGGTGGCATGTGTGTCAGCTTTCGGTGGCCAGCAGATAGAACTTTCTTTTTTCCTTCATTGTCATGAATACAATGACAGCTTTTCTAGACCTGAGCGCGGCCTGTGAGCCCAGCCCCTGGGGGACTGTGCTGTCCGGACAGGTGGCCATCCCACGTGAGATGTTTGGGACTGAATTAGGTGATGCACATGAAGTGTGCTCTCAGAGGAATTTGCAATAATAAAAGACTGCTATATAATTAACTCTTGTATTTTTTTGCTTGGGGGATAATCTTCCCCTATATCTTAACTGGCAACTTCTTGGACATTCCAGGGGAAAACTGCTTTCTCTGGGGTAAGGGGTCAGGGGAAGGAGGAACCCCAGAATGAACAGAGGTCAGGTAGTCCCGCCTCTCAGCTCTAAGCACCTTCCACTGAGCTTCCCATCACAGATGCCACAGTGAACACAGAAATGATGAAACAGCTCCAAGGGGGTAGGGACCTCCAGGGCGTGGGAACCCCCTAGCTCACTCCTGGGCCCTTCGAGTCACAAACAAGTTGAGATTTAGCTCTAAGACTAGGAAGCCCCACATGAGAGCAAGGTGGGAAAGCAGCCCGGGATCAAGCATTATATAACGACATCATCCGTGTCACCTGGCCGTGGGACCCTCTGTCACCTAGCCTTCCAAAATCTCATTTTCTCAGAACTGAGAAATGCCAGAGTGTCCACTGCAAAGCTTGTCCTCACAAAGCCTGGCTGTGAAGCTGTCCACCTGGCCATCCCTGAAGCACTGTTACCTGCATGTAACTCGAGAAGGTTTTCATATACCAATTTTTACGTGGTCCCTGTACTGAACAAAGGGGATCAGAACCCTTCCTACATCGTGTTCTCTGTACACAGAGCTGAGTAATTAACATCTGGCCTTAACATTTCAATCATCGAGGAACAGAGAGAGATGAAATGAGAACATCCATCATCACAGTTTTTGAATGGAAAGACATAATAACAACAATATACCATGCATTTATATAGCACATGTGCGTTTACAAAACAACTTCCTGTCCATTATTAAACTTGATCTCTACAATAGCCTGGTGCAGCTGGTAGAGCGAGTATCACCATCTCTGTTCTACAAGGGAGAAAGCAAAAGCTCCCGCGTCAAGTCTCCACGGCCACAGAATGAGTTAAGGTAGAGAGCAGAGTTTCCGATGCATGACTTCCTGCCTCCAAGCCCAGCACACAGCCTACTTCCTCTAATTAACCGTTGATGATCCTCAATGAGCATCTATGACGTGCCCCCTTATATACCTGGACGTGCAGCCTAGGAAGAGAGGTAACAGGATACGTACCCCAGGGGTCACTGCACAGGGCAGGACTTACCGGAGTCCACATGATCAGAGACCAGCCTTAGGATGTCCCCTGGCTGCCCATCAATGTTGAAGCAGACAGTGAGCTTGTTCAAGGGGAAATCCACAACAAAATGGGGGTCTCCATCCGCTGGCAGGGCAGGAAAATAACAGGCGAGAAAGAGAAAGAAAAGACATGTATTGGGTTCTGTACTCTTTTCTATTTTCTCACAAGTTATTCATTTTATCCTGTCAGTGATCTTGAATGTCTAAATGATGAAAGATGACTGGGAGGTGAAGCGACTCACCAAAGAGACGCAGTTAGGATGTGGTAAAGTAAATTTTTGAACTCAGGTCCCCTAAATTCAACTATAATGCTCCTTTCATCACACCTCAGCCAAACACAGACAACTCAGCTTTGAGAAGAAAGGAAAGAGGGACCACCACACACCCCACTGTTACTGAGCTCACATTCTTCAATTTCTCACACGGCCTCCCCCAATCCTTTCCTCTCTCATCTGACTGCCTGAGTGTAGCGGTGTGGATGAGAACCCTCCTCTCCTATGGCCACACTACATGGCACTAGAGAATTCATTTTATTTATTTATTTATTTATTTATTTATTTATTTATTTATTTATTTATTTATTTATTATTTCTTTAAGCTGAGCCATCCTGTCACCTGTTGGCAGCTCAGTGGCTGCTCAGCTCAGGCCAGGAATCAAACCGCTGTTGCTCAGAGCTCACAGTCTTGAGCACTAGAGACATTCAAAGTGCCAGAGGTACACAATGCTTCCATGGCAGTGTAATGACCAAGCCCAATGGAGGGCTGATGACAAGTCACAGGAGGTTAGGCAGGATAGTCAGCAATGACGGCGCAGGTCCCTCCTCTGGGTCATACTGACTTTCTTTCTTTCCAATTTTTGTCCACAGAGGAGACTGCAAAGTTTAGCTGGCCTCGTTCCTGGCCCATTTTCTTCCTTTTGACCTTGGTTAAAGATGGACAGCCCTGCCTCTTATTGTGCAGACAAAATGTTTCCCAAGCGTCTCCATCAATTCTCTTCTCTCTGGAGTCTGGAGACTTAGTTTCTCTCTAACTTATGCACCAAACACAATGCTGTTCTGAAATCTCCCTACCTGATGTATATACATGTATGTATATGTGTTTGTATATGGCAGGAGGGTTGTGGGGGTGAGGCAGGAGATCTATCTTCACAAGCTCCAAGCAAATTAACATCCTTGGTGTCACTGCAAAAACCCTTTCTGCCTCATCATGACTCAGAAGGGCCCTTGAAAGAACCTGGCTGGTCTCACTGTGAAGTGCCTCAAGCACCCTGTGAATGGCAACACAGAAAGAAATAGAAGGTACTGGTCTTCTGTAAATGAAAAAAATGACACCGGTAGGAGACAATACTCCTGGGCCATATTCTTGGCATGCTTTAGGTATGAATATAACTATGTGACAGTTCTCTTGAGAGTTTCCTGGGCCCGTACCTCATCAAATCCCACAAATCCCTTTCTAAGGAAAGACATTGCTTGCTCCAAAAAAGAGAGGAGCAGTCTGAAAGTCATCACACCATGCACCATCCAAGAGGAAGTTTCTCTTGCATTCCATAAGCATGTGTAGGTATCATGGAATCACGTTCTCTCCGCTGAAGACCGTGCATTTCCTATCCTCAGAGCTCATCTCCAGGGTGTCCCTGGTTTTATGAACAGGCACGTCCAGCACACCAGCAGCAAGACTTACAAAGGACATATGTACATTTGAAGGCTCCAGCCCAGCCCTGATGTGATTATTCCTTCCAGATTTTTATCATAATCCCAGCAAGTTGGCCAAACAAAATTTTATGGTATTTTTTTTAATCTGTTATTTCCACTAAAGCCAAGATTAAAAGAATAATAAGATAATTTTTAGAAAACCTGCATATAACAGATATTTGTAACCCCAGGAGCTGGAAGCATGTATACTTCAGATCTCTAAAACAAATGTCTTTACGACTCAGTAATGATGAGAACGTGCCTCCGCTGTCTGTCCTTCAATCGGGGCTGCTACCAGGCTCCCGGGGACGGTGTTTATGTCATGGTTTAATGATGATCCTGAACTACCTCAGGCTGCTGGCGTGGGCTCAGTAAATACGGGTCCCGGTGTCACGTTTCTATGAGCTGGTATTTTAACTGGCTTCAGGGAATTCCTGGTTGTCCACTTTCTAAACATCTAAACTCTCAAATCACACAAACCATGCTCTTTTCTTTACCTGATGTCTTGGAGATTTTAATTCTTGGGTTGTAAGGTTTCTTGAGAGCAGGTCCTAGAAAAGAGAAGGTAGGGGACAACCACTGTTATTCATGAAAGAAGGTGAAGAGGGGTACAGAGAGGAGGGGGTTGAGATCAGTAAAATGTACGCTTTCCGATATCTCTGTGGCAACTTAAAAACATCAACTCTTTTAAAGGAGGAGCTTGGGCCTCACGACACACAGGTGAAGGTGTAGCGTGTGTAGGCTTAATTATTTGATTCTTTTATAAATTTGACAGTATTCTTCTCTGTGATTTCTGTGTATATAACCGGGGGAAATATTCCATCAGACACAAGGTAGAATTATGGGAGGAGGGGAAAAAGTCGACCTGCTTAATGGGACCAGAGTTTGAGATGTGCAAGACGAAAAAGCTCTGGCGATCTGTTTCCCAGCACAAACATACCTAACACTACTGAACCATACTCTTAAAAACGGTTACGGTGGAGAATTGTGTCTTATGTGGTTTTTTTTTTTTACCATAATTTAAAAAAAATCAAAAACAGGAAAATGCAAAAATGGACAACATAGCTATAGTCCAGTGTCTTTGCTATGTGTGTGTGAGCCCAATTCCTAAAGCATCAGGCAGAAACTCTCTATGAAAAAGAATAACCTAAATGTAAATTAATTTCTAAAACTAAAATAAATATCTTATTTCAAATTGTCGGTATTAACAAGATCACGCTCTTCTTCACTGATTTTTGGCCCTCTCAGAAATTAAAGATCAAAGTATCTAAACGGGTCTCAGAGCCCATCTTCTCCACACGGGTCCCTGGCCAGCAGGACACCGGCAGAGCCAGGCCGACCATGGCGGAGAAGCAACTTCTCCGTTTGGATGGTTACTCTGAGGAGCCTTGGGGAGTTGCAGCTGCCACAGGCACTCTAAGAAACCTAAAATTTAAATTTAAAAACCATCCAACCTTCAAAACAAGAAAGATTGTCTGAGTACTAACTGATGCTTCTGGAAAATTCTATCCCAAACAACCCTTTTGAGCAATCAGTGGGGTATTTCCTCATATGGCCTTTTCATAGCATCACACAACCTGCTTTTCATCAGAATGAAACTTGTACTGGTTTTGCCAAGACAAGCTCCACCCTCTCTAGAAAACAAAAAAATCCAACTTATCATTTTTAACCTCCACATCAGGGTCTGAACTTTCCAATAAATTTCTAGTTCTATACTCTTCAGGGGAGAGGGTATCTAACATTTGTAGAACATTCATATGTGTCAAAGACTTTACACATTTAATCCTTGCAACAGCCCTTCTCAGAAATTATCAATATTGCCATTTTACAGATGAGGGAATAGAGACTCAGAGAGGTTCAGAAACCTGCCCCGAGTCACACAGCTGGTCAGGAGGGTCAGTGAGCCAAAACTCAGCTCTGTCCTGACCAAACCATATGCTCTCTCCACTACACCCAGGTGCTTCTCAGAGTTTATAGAGTGTGAGGAATAAATGAGACAGCATTTGCAGGCCCTGGGTCAATATCAGTTCCCTCTCCTTAGGAGATGTGACAAGAATTTAATGAAAATGTTACACATAAAAAACATGTTGTTGGGCCGGCCGAGTGGCGCGATGATTAAGAACTCGCTTGGGATGCCAGAGGGCCCCGGTTCGGATCCCACATATGAGGGCCAGTGACACTGCCCTCTATAGCTAAG